AGACCAGTTATGTTTAATAATAGCCGCGGAGAGTCGCACTGCAACAAGATGCAGTAAGCAAATGAATTTAAATCAGCCTTGAGTCCTCCTTACGTAGTCAGCGTTTCATCATAGCACTAGGAACACAGGCTTCATCCCGTTCTACATATTTCCCCGCATCCATTGTTGTTCTCACTCAGGGGCGAAGCTGCAGCAGGTCATTTAAACCGTGTTCAAAAGTGAAGAACTTTGAGACATCTGGGGGTTTGTGCTTCGGGACCAAGATGGTCTCGGGGTTTGTGCTGGTAGATTTGCCAGCTCACACTGATCGAACAGATTGAAAACCAGTAAAATGAAACTTATCGCTTAATGGTCCCTGTAATTCTCAAAAGAGACATTAAGTGAGTAAAGAACCCTCAAACCAAAAAATTAGAACAGCTTCAATTCAAAGCGATGCACGCACAGGCTACACAGTAAAAAGCACAGCAATATATCCAAGAAACAATTTTTCATACGAATGAGCAGCATTCATATACGCTGGTATGGAAGACGCGAGCTCTCATTCCTGCGAAGTCACTAACATGTCTAATAATTTACAAACGTGCATTATCATATCATGACTATCATTCCTCCAGATCGTGTTAGGACTATCATTTAACCTCAGTGAGTGACATTGCATCTCAGAGTAGAAAAACTAAGCAGTAACGTGTTTTGTCGGTGAGATGCAGGCCATGTGGTTTTGAAATGCAACCTCCTGTCTGAGAAAATTAAAACAGAATAACTCCCTGGCAGCACGACTGCTTCTGTCTACCCAGGCGGTCAGAAATATTTAGGGCTTAACATCAGATTCAAATTGGATATTCTGCTTGATCTGATGCCTCTTTAGATGTGCCAGAACAAAGCCGGCCGCATATTTGCATATTATTTCCCCCTCCCCCCCCTCCCACTTACATATCTCAACGAACGGGCATGTGGTCGTCAACAACCACGGACCAGAGGTAGCTGTGTGGTCCTCTACAACCACGGACCAGAGGTAACTTTGTGGTCCTCTGCAACCACGGACCAGAGGTAGCCTTCTTACGAAGCAGCAAGCCGCTTGATGTGAGTTAGGCACTTTTGCGTCCAGCACAAAACTTTGGCATTGGGTAGGTGCTTCTTTATCTCTGTTCTGTGTATTCTGCTCCCACTTGCAAGACCCGTGCAGTAATTGTACGCCAACAGTGCATTTACATACCTGTGATTCTCTTGTAATGCTTTAGAAGGTCCAACAAATTTTACACAGAAAACCAGGAAAAAACGTAGTTGAACATGCCAGCCAAAACCATCCATTTATACATCAGATGAAGATTTGGTAAGGTTTGGAATAGCTTGTGCGGTGACCAGAGTCACTGGCAAGTGGTTAGTATGTATGGGAGATGGCAAGGCGCTAGTAGTCCTGACAGATGTGGAACGACAGGTAACATGTACCTATCTCTTGCACCACGCTTCGTGAATATGGAAGGATTCTATACTTCCATCTGAAGCAACTATGGTGCACGAGATGCTATGCAATTTGAAAAAAACGCTGCGCCTTCAAATGAAGTGTTTATGGTACCTCTCCTAGTGTGCCGAACACAAAAAGAAGGCAAAGTGACGTACAGCTGTCGATGTATCCGGAACAATTGGTTTTTGACGGTATAAATGTCTGTCACGCGCGTGAATTACACTTTTGAGGCAGCCGGTAAGCTACAGGGAAATATTTGTCGCAGTTGAGGTGGTCTCACCAGTCAGTGTGTTCGAGAACGAACACACTCATGAAATACCATATCTGTGGTGAGTCAGTCGTTTTATTATTCGGAAGGCGTATTTGATAAGCGTCGTCCTGCGCTTGTGAACTGGATACCACGGACACCTGTAGTGCCCGTGCACTACGCAGTACGCGTGCCACACGCCACACATCTACACATGCCATCGAGTGACACGTGCAGATGCATTGCACCCTTCATGGGTCTAGAAATGTTGGATAATGCATGCTTGTGTTCAGGTTTTTGCAGCCAAAAGCAATTTTGCCACCTGGCGATTTTGGCCCCTCGGTGAGCTGAGGCACTAACCCATCCGCCAGGACGTCATAAAAACGCTCCAGGGCGCAATCAAACGTTGAAATCTGAGGGAACATATTTTCTAAGTAGTGGAATTTATGTTTCTGTCTAGATCAGTGCATTGTGCTTCAATGCATACCACTAGGTTCAAGTGAGCTTCTTCCATCCTATCCCATACTTAACATCTTTAAATGAGGACCATCCTTGACGCTGAGTTGACTACAAACGTGCTGCTTTAAGACCACTAATGACGCTCTTTCTAAGCAGCATTATGGGTAAGGGACTTTTGCGGCATGTCATAAAGGCATAAAGACATAAAGGCAAAAGATATTCTGCCAGTTAAGAGCCACAAGGACCCATCGAGGATGGCCTACCTCAGGTTCTGTAGAGATCCTCGAAACTTATCATCTGACCTGCATAAATTTAGCTATAAATGAGATCTTTGGACCGATAAAACTTGTCAAAACGGTTTTTGAATGCTGCTGATAGGGCTTTCTACAACTTCGTTTGCCAGCCCATTCCAATGGTTGAGGACTCTGACTGAATGAAATCCGCTTTTTCATAATTCTGCTTATACCTTTTGCTAAATAAAACTAGTTTTCTCTATGTCTCGGCTTAATTTCCAGTGCTCCATGCAGATGTACCCTGCCTATCACTTCATAATCTTGTATACGTCTATTGGATTCCTTCTAAATCTACGATATTTCGGTGAATACAAATCCAATGCCCTGAGCCCATCTTTATATTCGAAGTCGCCAATCTCATTTATTATTCTAATTAATTCTCGCTGCACTTTTCACAGTCTGCCTATATCGTTTCGGAAACATGGGGACCAAACCTGTACACAATACTTAAGTGTGCTCTGTCATAAGCTAAGTACAACTTTTTGACAACATCCCTACTCTTGTAATGAACATCCCTGTTTATAAGTCCCAGAATCCGAAGTGCCTTGCTCCTAGCAGCCCCACATTGTTTCCCAACCTTTAAATCACTATAAAGTATGACCGCTAAGTCATTTTCTTCCTTAATCTGGTCAAACTCATGGCCTCCCATGTTATAGCTAATGTCCTCACTGCTTAACACGCGCTTGGGTGGGGGTCAAATTGGTCCTCCCAAAGGTTTTCAGGAATGGTTTTCGAACGGCGAGGTGCAGCCACGCCAAATTTTGCATAGCTGTAGGCAATTAAATAGTGCATCGCTTGGTATTTCAAATGTGGATGTAACTTGTCAGGCCGCTGACCTATGGCAGGTCAAAGGCAGGCCGTGGTTCCAGGGAACGCAATTTCTAGGGAATCCTTCAATCTGATCTAACAACGTAGTGTTAGACGAAACCATGCATCTCTCAGATGCTTTCTTAGGCAACACAACAGTTGGATGAACAAATTGAATTGACCTAAGGTTGGGTATGAAGGTCACACCAAGGTCAAAACCGATCTATTTTGTTGCTCTAGGGCTTGCTGTATGGGATAGCTTCTGGTGCTCATTTCAAATTTATTAATAGCAGGAACCGCATTATACATCATGCACGGACTTCTTAGAAGTCAGAATAGGCCATGGACCTAAAGTGACCCAGGTCAACATTGTTTTTTAGGAGCATACTGTCTAGCGTCATCTTTGTCGCTTAGTCAAATGCACAATTCAAAGCAATTTTGCATGATTTTGGTCGCCTTGACCTTCAAAAGGTCAAAAAAGGTCATTGACCTTAAGTGAGCATGTGACCTTTTACTTGTGAGTGAGTGAGTGAGTGAGTGTGAGTGAGTGAGTGTGAGTGTACAGGTCAACAAAGTGAGTTCATGTACAGGTCAACACACTCTGTAAATTTGGTGTCTCTAAATTTCTTAGTTCCTGAGATCTTAGGGGGTAAATTGACCCCCGAGCGAAGGGTATCTAGCCGGCCACCCGGGCGCGTGTTAAGGTACCCAAATGCATCACTTCACAGTTATCACAATCTACCACAGAGAATCCCAGTTCACTAGCTTATTTAAGTCGAGTTGAACTTGGTCCGTCTGCTCAGGACTTTTCGACAGCCCTGCCGATTTAATGTTGTCAGCAAGTTTTAAGACCTCACCCCTTATCCTATCTCAGTAATATTCACAAAAATAATGAAGAGCACTGAAACCTTGTACCAATGAGCACTACTGTCTGTTCCCCATCTAGGAGCCAAGCCCTTACACTGCCAATTTTTCCCTCCATGTAATGTAATTTGAACTGATATAGTAGACGTTGGTAGGGCACGTTACCGAATGCCTTCCTAAAACCTAAATGTAAACAACATCTAAACAATTGCTTTTATCTGTATGACTAGTAACATGCTCCATGAGCACTAGAAGATTTTCGGAACAGGACCTACAGGAAATAAAGCTGTGCTGGCTACTATTTATCAACCGATGCCTTTCTAAGTATGACTGAATGCTAGCCTTAATGAATCGCTCCAAAATCTTACAAACCAGTCAGGTCAGACTCACAGAAACATGACCTGTTACTATAAGTTTCGATTTTCCGAAGTTTGCGGCAATAGCATCGCGAAATGATGTACGAAAATTACAGCGGACAAGACATTTCGCAGACCGTCCGTAATGCCCACAATTTTATGTCCTCTCGGTCCCTCCGGAGTCTCCTGGCTTAGATATACCGTTTTCATGCGTTTTCATACCAAAGTCCGTGCACCTTGTTGCGCATAACCACCTCGTAGGACGTGCCGTAGATGCATATGCTTTGAATTTAAACTTGTCTAGCTGTCTAACTGTTAAACTTGTCTTAAACTATCAAAATTTAATGAATGTGTCTGTATTACACCTCACATAGTAACAACGAGCTTCACAAAGGACTCGGCACGATTTCAACGAACAACATGCATGCATGACGAAGGACGAGTGTGACGAAGGAACCAAGGACATGGTCGCTTATGACGAACCACGGTGCTTTGTTTTGGAGAGTGGTTTATTAGGCACCCTCAACGCCTCCGATGTGCTCGCGGGTGTGGCTGAAGTCGGGCAGGTGGTCACCCTCCGGGTGGAAGCCGTTCTCGTCGGCAGTCCAGTTGACGGTGTAGGTGACGCCCTCCCACTCATACGAGTAGGAGCCACTCCTCACGTAGTTGCCAGTCTCCGGCTCGTTGCCCGGGTACGAGATGCCGTCCTCGTTGGACCTGATCCCGTTGGTGGTCTCGTACCTGCAATGGCATGATCATCGTCAATGCCCATATTGTATGAAGTTTCTTACTTCTAAGGAAGAATATTCGGTGGCCACGTGGTGCGGGTTCTGTCGTTACAATAACTTAATTTCATCCGAATAGGACTGACGAGATTGTCATTTTCTGCACAGGTGATTACGTGATAATCAGCCCATGCATAATTCTGTGATGCCTGCTGGCATCTTGAACCAGAAGATTTTAGTTGCATAGAAGTAAATCATTTCATAACAATCCAGAACTGCTGTGGGTGGCGAGACATGCTTCTGAAAGCCACTTGCCGGGCGCTGGTCGCAGCGAACAACAAGTGACAAGCGCAGATCGTTCGGGGCTCATCACAAGTGAGTTCGAACCCACATCGCGTATGACATTCACATTTCCGTAACAAAGAAGGGGAGAACTGAACTAATGGAAGGTCGTAAAGTGATATCCTGTGCTCCGTCAAATAATCTAGTTCGGCCTTTTTCTAAAGGCGAATCGCAAAATTATCAGACGATATGGAGCATCTGGATGGCGGCGTTAACACCTATGTAACCAGCAGTTGATTAGCGAGTACTGTTACTCCACCACCATCAGGTAAGCAACTCATCCAATTGTATTTTAGTAATAATTAAATCAATGTCATGCTTGCATTTCATTGCGAGTATTCGATGTGGCACCGTTGGCACCGTTCTGAATATTCACCGTTTTCTAGGGCATGTCTGTCTCACAGCAATTTTCCACTTATGATTATTCGTGGCGAAAAGCTGCAGTAAATGCGTTGTAGGAAAATAGTGTTGCTGGAAATTTTGCGACGGTGATGCAACTCTAAAGCATCGCCGCCGCTGAAAACCGCACGCCGCCGTGGAGAAGGCAAAACGTCGCCACAGGTGTTACCTTCGTTGGGCTATGCCTTCGGCTACGGCATCACGGACTCGAGAAAGAACCGACAGCTTGTTCAGAGTGGTACTCACGTGGCCTCGTAAGAACCATCCTCCTCGATGCCGTACTGGAAGTTGGCGATTTTGGCGCTCTTGTCGGCCACAGCCAGCGCCACGAAGCACAGGAGGAGAATCTGAAATGGACATGCTTCCGTGAGATTAACGATTTATGAGGCTGCTATGCTCCCATCAGATCACGTGCGTGTGCGATTCTTCTAGCAAAGAAAGAAATATTTCCCTTGTCATTAAGTACGCTTTTGAAAGCATCAGAGCTGGCCTGACTCCGGTTCGGCAGATCGCGAATCAACGCGGTCACCACCTTTCCGAAGAAGCACGCCGCAAATTTCTGCACTTTGGTGAACATCGAACAGTTCCCACGTAATAAAGCTCTTCCTAGTCCCTTCGAGAATGTATTCTCCAGCTGTATACACACGGTCGCGACAGACACAGCTAACGCTGCGATGCTCAGCGGTTTCAAGTGGCGGAGGAACACTTACGGTCTTCATCGTGAGACTTGAGGTGATCTACTGATGCTTGTGCCAGTGTCAGAACCGGCTTATATACCTCACTGCCCGCTACCGACAGCGACAATGTAGACAAACCAGATTTTGTTAAGCTTAACCTTGAGAGATAAATCTCGGTAGGTTTGCAAAAAATGCTGTGCGCGGGACGTTACGTGCCTTGATGATTCCAGGTGACAGAGGATATTAACCATGGCTTCATGCAGTAAATTATGCATTAAGCTGCAAAAGCAGACCGGTCAATTTATGCAGGGTCTTTGAAATCGTCGAATGGGACATACAAGTATCCTCCAGATAGTTAGTAATGCTTTGAAGGACACTTAATAAGGCTTGAGATAAGTTACCATGCTCTTGTTGCAAGGGTGGCAGGGGTAGGATGGCAGGTCGGTATCCAGTCATATGGATATATAAACCTGTTTTTTTATTATTCTTCAATGTTGTACCAAGTTGTGGTAATCGCAATGCTGACAACGTTCATGAGAATGTAGGACACGATGTTTCCTACCATGGCCCTGCTCACGGCACCTGCGGTTGCTGCAGTCGCTGCATTCACGCCGATCAGTCTCGGATATATTGGTGACGTCATATAATGTCACGACGTCATAGTTCTGCAATGTCGTCACGAGACAAGTCACAGCTCTGCGGTCACTGCGGTTTATAAGAAGCAGTCTCAATGATCGTAGACGAGGCTGCCACGCAATTCGGCGCGTTGTGGACAGTTCAAATGTATGCGCACATGAGGTCATATGAGCAGCGTCAATGGCGTGTACGAAGCGAATGGCCATGGGCAGGGGCGCATCCAGAGCCTTGATAAAGGGTCGCAAAGTGCTGAAAAAAACCCCTGATGGTATAGCCCTCCCTCTCCGAAACAAGAAATCATCGGATGTGTTCCTCCCGATTTCAAGGGGCACGATTTTTCCGTTCCATTTTTATTGTACCTTCTGCAGCTGGCACAAAAGCCGGAGCCTACCGGAAGATGCAACTATCTTTACATTTTGAAATCAATAAGCTAAAGGAAGTTGACCTCAAATGACTGCATGGAGAAAGGCACCGGTGCTCGTCCTTTTGCAACGGTTCAGTGGAGTTATCCTAAATCGATGGACATCTAGGCCCTGCCAGATTTTTCGAGATCTACAGAGATATCGCGGGCATAGTAAACGTGATTTGTACGCCGTAATATGATCACATATTTGAATAAACATCGCCATTGCAGGTTCCTCGGAGAATGTTGAGGCTTCAGTCAAAATCGGTTGGCGAGAAAATTAGGTGGCATAATTCTCAACGTACGCACTGGCATGTGATATAAGCAAACGTCCAGGCCCAGCGTTGCAGTCTCCCTGGGGCTCGCCTTTCTGCATGCGGTTTGCTCTTGGCGGCGGCACCGTGCGACAAAAAATGATGACGCATCTGAAAAACGAATCCTGGAATGCTTGAAGGCATCAATCAGACGTTTAAAGACAGTCCTGGCGTTTAATTCACCCGTGCATTCATTAAAGGAACACAATGAGATTTATTTAAAGCGCGCTGGTGGTGGAACTGGAAGATTGAAAGCAGAATCCTATTTTTTGTGTTACTGTAGCTGTTGATCTGCTCAGATGACAACCTAAAAATCATGAAGGCGAAATAAATGCCCCACGCTTATCTTTGAATGGTAGGAACTGATATAAAAAGACTTTCGAAAGCATTATCTCATGACGGTTGTTTTCGCGAGCTCGGCGCTCTCCGCTCGGTGCTACCTGCAGCCGCCAGCCTCGTACGATTTTGTGGAAACGGCAACTCCGGCCATAGCTGTTGGAAGATTGTGCGTGCTCATACTCTATTGTAATTCACAATCAGAAATTGTGAATTCGTGCTTCTTTGTAGAGTTGTGTACGACTCGAGCTGTATCATGAATCGTGCCATGAGTCGATTGTTTTGTGGTGGGTCGTGATCTGAATCAACAAACTAGAAACTATAGCGCTTTGAGTCACGCTTGCTACTGCAACTTACAAGCAGCGAACACGATATTGCTGGTCGTGAACTAAAGCTTGCCAAATCTCAGCCAGAAACCAGAGGGTATTACATGGTACGGACATTCTGCATTCCTATATCGTACGGCCTAAAATCAGTGAAGGACTATCCACTACATATAAAATCAGTGGGATGACCATATTTTTGCTTCCCAATTGCCACAATGAACTGATCCATACTTGACCCATCATTCGCTACTACTTGAACTACTGTAAGCATGCTTTTGCTGAGGCCATGTGAAATAAACAGCGGGTCGTCTTGCCTTATATACGCATTGGACGTCGCACAAAACCTGCCAGGGATGTCGTTAGTAGCTATTTCCACGCAATGCGTAACTTGTAAAAAATTGGTCTACAAATTAAGAAGTCCTGGGATGTGGGTAAAGCGGCGCACAGCACTAATCTCCTCGCAGTGCAGGAAACTGGTTCGGCTCTTAACCCATCATAGAGTGACCTGATGGGATGACTTAAAGGTATCCTGGTTGAAACGATAGTTGGCGCCTACCTTAGCCTATCTGTAATTCAGCTCTCCAGAGTTCGGTTCGGTTCCTCTCTGCCTGAAATACGTCGGCTGACCGTGTCCATCGTGGGATGAGTTTTTGTGGTGAGCTTAACATCGTGAGGTTTGTGAGAAATGCAGTTATAATTCGTAATACTTATCAAGTTCTGGCAAGTAGATGAGGTCGTGTTATGTTTTCAAGCTATGTTAGTTTATCCCTTTCGCAAGAACTGCAATCCGATATTGAATTGACATATCATCCTCGACGGCATAGCGAGCACTGGAAAGTGTAAGCATGTTTTATGTATATGCTTTTTTCCTACGTATAAATGCACTTGGCTGTGCCAAATATCAGGCTAAGTGCAGTCTAGTCCACATTACACTCTATATAACCAACGGGTCTGGGTCACAGGTGCCAGGCAGAACATGCCAGCCGTAAAGCTGAGACTTGAGTGAGTTGGTTCGTAGCAGGTCACAGGTTAATTATTATTTTCTGCCCTGCATTTGGTAGGCTAAAAACAGAACCTTGCATGTACACACACACACACACCGTAAAGCCCAAATTGCCGAGATACTCTAAGCGAGCTCGAAATTTAGATTCGAGATGCTTAGTTGACTGCGATGTTGTTGCTTCCACACAACTATTAGCACTCTATCTGGACAATATTGTAGGTGAGAGACTGCGGCATGAAATTTTGCTGATGTTTTTTCCAAACCTTACAGCATAGCATCGCGAAAAAATTTAGGAAAATTGAAATGATCCAAGACATTTTGCAGACCGCCGGTAATGCTCAGAACATTGTGTCGTCTAGGTGTTCCGGAGTCTCTGGGCTTGGACATTCCGCTTTTTGGCGTTTTCATACCAAAACCCGTATACCCTGGAGAGCACAACTTATCTTTGTGTGCGCGCCGTAAATGTAAATGTGTTGAACTCCAAATTGTTAGTGAAGCACATCTCATTGCTTCACGTAGGCTTTAACTAGGTTTAGTATCGCCCGTTCTATCCAACAACCTATGAAAATGAGAATTGAACGAATATGTCTGTATTATATCTCACATAATAACAGCGAGCTTTACAAAGGACACGGCACGATTTCAACGAACAACATGCATGTATGACGAAGGACGAGTGTGACGAAGGAACCAAGGACATGGCCGCATTTAACGAACCACGGTGCTTTGTTTTGGAGAGTGGTTCATACAAGAGGGGAATCACCCTCGACGCCGCCGATGTGCTCGCGGGTGTGGCTGAAGTCGGGCAGGTGGTCACCCTCCGGGTGGAAGCCGTTCTCGTCGGCAGTCCAGTTGACGGTGTAGGTGACGCCCTCCCACTCATACGAGTAGGAGCCACTCCTCACGTAGTTGCCAGTCTCCGGCTCGTTGCCCGGGTACGAGATGCCGTCCTCGTTGGACCTGATCCCGTTGGTGGTCTCGTACCTGCAATGGCATGATCATCGTCAATGCCCATATTGTATGAAGTTTCTTACTTCTAAGGAAGAATATTCGGTGGCCACGTGGTGCGGGTTCTGTCGTTACAATAACTTAATTTCATCCGAATAGGACTGACGAGATTGTCATTTTCTGCACAGATGATTACGTGATAATCAGCCCATGCCTAATTATGTGATGCCTGCTGGCATATTGAACCAGAAGACTTCAGTTGCATAGAAGTAAATCATTTCATAACAATCCAGAACTGCTATGGGTGGCAGGATATGCTTCTGAAAGCCACTCGCCGGGCGCTGGTCGCAGCGAACAAGTGACAAGCGCAGATCGTTCGGGGCTCATCACAAGTGAGTTCGAACCCCACATCGCGTATGACATTCACATTTCCGTAACAAAGAAGGGGAGAACTGAACCAGTGGAAGGTCGTCTGGGGACATTCTGTGCACTGTCAATGAATTCAGATCGGTTTTTTAACGGTGAATAGCAAAATTATCAGATATTTTGTGGCATTTGGATGGCGGCGTTAGTACCAATGCAACCAGCCGCTGGTTAGCGAGTGCTGTTACTCCACCACCATCAGGTAAGCAACTTATCCAATTATATTTTAGTAATAATAAATCAATGTTATGGCCGCGTGTCATTGTAAGTTTTCGATGTGGAATTCTGGATATTCGCCGTTTTCTAGGTCTGCCTGTCTCACAGCAATTTTCCACTTATGATTATTCGTGGTGAAAAGTTGCAGTAAATGTGTTGTAAGAACGTAGTGTTGCTGGAAATTTTGCCACGGTGATGCAACTCTAAAGCATCGCCGCCGCTGAAAACCGCACGCCGCCGTGGAGAAGGCAAAACGTCGCCACAGGTGTTACGTTCGTTCTGCTATGTCTTCGGCTACGGCATCACGGACTTGAGCGAGAACCGGCAACTTGTTCAGAGTGGTACTCACGTGGCCTCGTAAGAACCATCCTCCTCGATGCCGTACTGGAAGTTGGCGATTTTGGCGCTCTTGTCGGCCACAGCCAGCGCCACGAAGCACAGGAGGAGAATCTGAAATGGACATGCTTCCGTGAGATTAACGATTTATGAGGCTGCCATGCTCCAGTCAGATCCTCTGCTTAACCATGCCATTGCCAAAACGTGCGATTCTTCTAGCAAACAAGGAAATATTTCCCTTGTCATTAAGTACGCTTTTGTAGGCAACAGAGCTGGCCTGACTCCGGTTTGGTAGATCGCGAATCAACGCGGTCACCACCTTTCCGAAGAAGCACGCCGCAAATTACTGCACTTTGGTGAACATCGAACAGTTCCCACGTAATAAAACTCTTCCTAGTCCCTTTGAGCACGTCTTCTCCAGCTGTGTACACACGGTCGCGACAGACACAGCTAACGCTGCGATGCTCAGCGGTTTCAAGTGGCGGAGGAACACTTACGGTCTTCATCGTGAGACTTGAGGTGATCTACTGATGTTTATGCCAGCGTCAGGACCGGCTTATATACCTCACTGCCCGCTACCGACAGCGACAATGTAGAAAAACCAGATTTTGTTAAGCTTGATCTTGAGAGACAAATCTCGGTAAGTTTGCAAAAATGCCGTGCGCAGGATGTTACGTGCCTGGTTGATTTTAAGTGATAGGGGATATTCATCATGGCTTTACGCGGTGAATTATGCCTTATTCTACAAAGGCCCACTGGCGGACCTTCCAAAGGTCTTTGGAATGGACAAATGCGGCATACAAGTATCCCATAGTAGCTTGTCTGTCCTTAAAAGGCTTGACACGAGTTACTGCTCTCGTTTGCAAGGATGGGTGGGGTAAAATGTCAGCGAGGTATCCATGTAGCGGAAAATATGAAACCTGTTTGCTTAATTAATTATCAATATTATATCAAGCTGTGGCTTTCACAATGCTGAGATAGCTCGTGAGGATGTAGTTCACGATATTTCCCACCATGGCCCTGCTCACAACACCTTGCTTAAGGCACCTGCGGTTGCCGCGGTCGCTGCGTCCACGCCGATCAGCACCGAGCATTCGTGTGACACTTTATCATGTCATGACGTCATAGTTATGCAATGTCGTCACGAAGCGCGTCATGGTTCTACGTTCACTGCGGTTTATAAGAAGCAGCCGCAGTCATCGTTGACGAGGCTGCGACACATGAGGCGCGTTTAGAACTGTTCAAATGTATGCGCGTATGCGTAGTCTTATCGGCAGCGGCCTATTTTGTATGCGCAGTGATTGGACATGGGTAAAGGCGCGGTCAGAGCCTTGGTAAGAGCGCACAGGATTGACAAGGGGCCCTGGATGTGAAACGCCCTCCCCCCGAACAAGACATGATCTTCTAAAGCTTCTAAAGGGGCACGGTTTTTTGTTTTATACTTATTTTGTCGTCTGGATATAGCTAGATGTAGATGCATATATCGATATAGCTAGAGCAGAAGCCAGAAGCTGTCGAAAAATGCAATTCCGTGTGCATTTTGAAGTCAGTAAGCAGAAGGAAGGGTATGTTAAATGACTGCACAAAATAACGCACCGGCGCTTTTCATTTTGCTCTGATTCGGTGAAGTTTCCCTCATCCGATAGGTCTCATAGACTTTGCTCGGTTTTTGCGGAGTCCGCAAAGAGACTGAGGTCCCATGAACGTGGTTTACACATCAAAATGGGGTCACAGATTTGTGCGCAATTGTAACTCACAAAAACAAAAGTCCACGCCCTGCATTGCAGTCCCCTTAGGTCGTGCGTAATCCTTCTGCCCTTCAGTTATCACTAGGCGGCAGTTCAAGCCGCCGAAAATGGTGACACGCCTTAAAAAGGAACCTTAGAACGCTTAAAGAGTGCTGCACATTTGTATGGGGTTTTGAACTTAAATAGCCCACTGATATAAATATGCATCAATAACCAACGATCGTTTCCCGATCATTCGGTGGAGTTGATAGCTTCAGCATTCTTAAGACCTATACCCCCTAGTTCTGAGCTATACGTCCGGGAAGATGTTCCGGGCTATTTCGGGAGACTATTTCAGCGGCACCCTATCATCTGTGATACCATGATAACGTCACTCAAGTCCTGCCATTTCATTCGTCATGCGGCGACCGAGGCTAAAGTTATAATTATCAAGTCGTTCATATCTGGCGTTCATGAGCACGATTTCCAGATATAATTAACGGCCGTCAATCGGCTATGAGTCATTCTTGTTCAATATATGGTGACTTATTGGGGAGCGTATGTACCAAAAAAAAGAAGAAATTATGTTGTCTAGGGCCGTCTTTTCCTCTTAAAAGTATACCAATCCTTACCAATGAGATTTTATCATATCTGATGATTGCTTCGTTTCCTTAAAGTGTAGAACATGCCCTGCAAGGATATGAATTCAGAGGTTCAAAAGGCACTCCCGACGTAGAATTCACCTGTGCAAAGTTAAGATGTATAATAGGTACGGATTGACATTTACAGCACGCAAACTGGTTGTCGAACTGGAGAGAGAAAGGCAGAATCTTTATTTTTCGTGTTGGTCTAGCTGCTTGTCTGTTCAGACGACAGGCTAAAAATTATAAAGGTGAAATAGGCGCCGAAGCCTATACTCTTTGAACCGTGCGAGTTCCTTATGAAGGACTACCGGAAGCATTGGTTCACCACTCTCGTTCCCGCGCGCCCAGCCCTCGCCGCTCGGTGTTACCTGCAGCCGCCAGCGCCGCTCGTTTCTCCGGAAGCTGCCATCTCAGCCATAGCTATTCTTGCTCTTAAGATAATCAATTGTAAGTTACATTGAGAAAATGTGATGTACTTCATTGGTGTTTCTGTGGTGCTTCCATGTACTTTTGCGGAATTTGTAACTCATTTGCGTCGCAAGTCGATTGCACAGAGGTGTGGGCGTTATTGGGCGAACATGTGCGGCCGTTTTTAGTTTTGACGGAATTTCGATCCACACAATTAAACACTAAAAAATATCCATTAGGTTTTTTCCCGGCCATGCATTCCCAGCACGGCGTGTGCATCGACTGCCAATCTCGCAGCACGGGGCGGGGTCCTCTGGTCGATCCGGGGGGCCTTTACGCGATAGGTTAAAGCAACCATACATTGGTTGGTTGGTTGGTACATCGGTTGCCTCCCTGAAGCGGGAAGCACCCTGACCCGGGCATTTGGCCCACATCGACGCGAGATCTGTTGTCGCCGCAGGTGGTGAAGCAATTGTCGCAGAGATTCCAGCTCGGTTTCCAGGCTCTTAACTTAAATGGCACGGAAGCTTCCTCGTTCGTTACTTTGGTCCAAACAGACGCAGGGCTTACCAAAGTCCCATTGTGGGCTCTCATTATAAGTTTTCATTTCTCCTTTCATTGTCAGAGGGTCTCCACGGACGCAACAAACCCTCGGGCATTCGGCCTCCCGTTCCCGTCAAATGTTCCCTGACCGACTTGGAACAATTTACTGACACAGGACATCCTGTGAGGCACTTTGGGCTCCTAACCGACACAGGGGCTCCTCGTTGCTGCAGGGACCCTGACCAATGGAAATCGCGAGCCCCAGCCTCATCACTGCTTGGGAAGTGAGCCCACAGGGCTGAGACCGACACGGAGCCGACTGTTCGATGCTGGTGGCTTCTGGCCAACGTAGAACCCGCATTGGCCCAGAGGTCTCCATTCGGCGTAAAGGCACTTCAATATTTGAGTTCACGGCTCTTCGGGCAAAGGTCCTCTACGTGACCTTCAGTGAGTCCTCCGGCCCCTTTAGTCCTTCAGTCAGGTCCTTGATCTTTGGTTCCGAGGGGCCCTTGGGCTCCCTCGAACAGAGCCCTGGGAGAACCGGGTGGCCTTGGCGGCACAAGACCGCTGTTAGGCAATGTGCGCCCCTCACCGATTTATAGATATAATGGCAGCCAATGGGCTCTAAATGAATGTTGTCTACAATGGCGCAATCAAACAGAGACGCAATGGGGAGAATATGTCCTAAAACAAGTTGTGTGGTCTGCAGCAGCATTTTCCTCTCAAAGACGAATTACGAATTCAAAGCTCTGATGGTTAGTTAACGGCCCTCAGTATACCGGTAGGTACTGGTTGAATGACGTTATAATGCTAAATAACGATATAATTCACGTTTGCAATTTTTTCACAAACAATTCAATTCACATCACGTACGCAATGTTTGGAGCTGTGCTTATGCCCAAAAAAGACAAGGGTTCATAAATTTTCGGCAAAATGTTAACTTAAAAAGATAAGGCACTTCTATCCAGAAAACGTTCCCATCCGTGTACACTGCCTCTAAAAGGTGTCAAAAAATAGAAATCGTCCAAGCTCCCAACACCCCACATACAGCTAAAGGCTACAAAAAGAGCACAGCTGGCTGGGCCGGAGGTTTTCAAAGTCCCACGCAGATAATTAGATAACAGCAGTACTTACCGCGATCATCAGCGACCACAAACATTGCAGGAACCTCATTTGTATTTTACATTTTTATTTTAACGTTTGCGCTTGTTGCGCTGTCTATTTCATTAGTTCGAATATAACTAAAACGGTTGTTTTCAGTGTCGTGTATTAATTTACCCTGCGTCGTATTACTGTGTGTTGTCCTGTGTTCCACCAGTGGTGTGTTCGCTCCCCGTTAACAGGCGCCCGGGTGCCGGGCTAGATACCCTTCTTTCGAGTGCGGAGAGGTCAATTTGAGCCCCACTGAGATCTCGAGAACTTAGAAAGCTAGAGACACCAAATTTACAGGGTGTATTGAACTGTACGTGAATTCACTTAGGCCAAAGTTTCAGGTTCCTAGATTATGATCTTCGGGTCGATAAGGTCAAATAAGGTCAAGTTCCAGGTTGGTCTTCAAAGTGCGCCCAAAACCTAGATAACCGTTTCTAAGCAAAACGTCATATGCTCGTTCAAGGTTAGTGACCTTGTTTGATCTTTTGAAGGTCAGTGCGGCCAAAATCATACAAGATTGCTTTGAGCTTTGCATTTGACAAAGCAACACAGATTACGCTAGGCAGTATGTTCCTAAAGCAAAATGCTGACCTATGTCCATTTAGGTCAATGACTTACTCTGACCTCTAAGAAGTCCGCGAATGATGTATAATGCGGTTTCTGCTATCAATCAATTTGAAATCAGCACCAGAAACTGTCCCATACAGCAAGCCCTAGAGCAACAAAATAGGTTGGTTTTGACCTTGGTGTGACCTTCATAACTGACCTTAGGTCAATTCAATTTGCTCATTTAACTGTTGTGATGCCTAAGAAAGCATCTCAGAGATGTATGGCTTTGTCCAACACTCAGTTGTTGGATCAGATTGAAGGATTCCCTAGAAATTGTGTTCGCTGAAACCATGGTCTGACTTTGACCTGCCATAGGTCAGCGACCTTGCAAGGTACATCTAAATTTTTGATGCCGAACGATCCGCTATCCAATTGTCTACAGCTATGCAACATTTGGCGTGGCTGTACCGCGCCGTTCAGAAACTATTCTGGAAATCCTTCGGTGGGGGTCTATTTGAACCACCCGAGCGCGGATTAACGTGCCTCCCCAAGGTTCGAAAAGTGTTTTTTCGGCAAAAGCGATAGCAAACCTTCGAACGCATGTGGGTGAACCATTGAGCGCTGAGTGTGCGCACAGCAGTAGGTAGATTCAACACACTGAAAGAACCAGGCGCAAATTTAGTAAACAGAATGAACCACCAGCGCTGTTTATTTTAGAATAGTTGCGTGAACACTTTCTAAGCCGACAACGCTCAGGGACATCGACGCATTTTTAACTCTTCAGATATAGTTATTGAGGCCTCCATAAACGCAGAATGTAGATCAAAATGAGCTCAAAGCTTTATTTTGATATTGCCAAGTCACATTCGTCTAGAAATGTTCAAACTTCACGCAGAATTGAATAGTGAAAACAGTCAGACCATGGAGTTCTGAACATACGCGCTTGCAAGCCTTTCAAACAAAAAACTCTGAACCCCGCGTTACAGCTCCGTAGGCCCCACGTCATCGGTCCCCGGCTAATTCTAAGTTGCAGCCAACGAATGGACGAAAACGATGGCGCACCTGCAAGAAATGCCTGCGAACGCTTTGTGACATAAGTAAGCACGTTCAAAAAGCAGCCCGGAGAATAATTCGCCTGCAAGATCTTTATGTCGCCAAAAGGAACGAACCGTGTTTACAACACCGCAAAATGGTGCCGGAATCTGGTATGCAATATCAAAGCACTGGTAAAATTTCGGTTTTTCGTGTTGATGTAACACCTAAGCTGTTTGGAGGACAATCTAGAAATTATACAGGTCGTATACACACACCAGTCTTATCTTTAAACGACGCGACCTACTTTCAGGCTTTCGGCAGGATTATTTCACACCGGTCGTTCTCGCGCGCCCGCCGCCCGCCGCCCGCCGCCTGGTGTTGCTGCAGCGGCCAACGCCGCTCGGCTTGATAGCAACTGCAGCCGCCGCCCACCAGCATTCTTGCTTTTTGAACCGCGAGAACGCGTGCTCAGAACCTCTTATGAAATCTGCCTCACCAGTCAATTCTGCAAAAGGATTGGCGCTCCCAGGCAAACATGGGATGACCTTTTCATTGTCGACCTCATTTCCGTGCAACCTATTGCATGCTTATAAGACCTCACGCCTTTTTCGGGCAAAGAGAAACATTCTCTTAGTATGCTCAACCCTCTATTGTCTCTATAGTTTCAATGCTATGCATTCTTGTGTTTTGGTATTTTCAACAACGTATCCATATTTTGCGGATTTTCTTTTGTCCAAAAATATAGGTTTCAGGTATATGTGCTAGAAACATACCAGTGCTTAAAGCCGAAACTGAAGCTCGGCTGATACCGATTCATTTCATTTGTCACCTCAGTTTTGTGCAATGAGCAGTGTGCGAACACGATTCAGTTTTCATGTTGTCCTCAATACGGTCTAAATCCTTGCTAACTGCGGTTCCGCCACGTGCGGTTGGCGTAAGCTGCCGATAACCTTACAGCAATTTTGATCCAACTGCCTCTTGACTCAGGCAGTTTGCACTTTGAAGCGGCTTTGTGGACTAGGCGGTGCAGTAATGTGTTGGCAAACCGATCACGTATCACGATCATTAAGCCTTCACCACATGGGTGCAGTTTCACGAAACAGGCTCGGAGTGCTGGGTGGGGGAATGGTTTGAATTGCCTCTAAAATGCAATACAATCAGGTTTTCTAACTCAAAGGCCAGAACGACTCAACAATTATTTAGATTTTCACCGCGCTGCCTTAACGCTGCCAAATGTACTTTCGGAAGTAGAGCAAGTACTTCTTGGCCTTGATCATCGCGTGGCAAATTAAATTGTAGAGCTTGAATGGCGTTGTTATGGCGCCTTGGATGCCTGGGTGGCCTTGAACTAGTCTGCGCATAGGTTAGCATGTAGGTTTATGTCTTGAGAAGGGCAGGGCTGTGAACTGCACCGGAGGACTCCGCGTTCTCTCTCTCCTCTCCTCTCATTCTTTGTGAACTGCACCGGAGGACTCATCGTTCTTTCTCTCCTTTCCCCTCGTTCTCTCTGAGCTGCACCGGAAGACTCCGCGTTCTTTCTCTCCGCTCCTCTCGTTCTTTATGAACTGCACCGGAGGACTCCGCGTTCTTTCTCTCCGCTCCTCCCGTTCTCTGTGAACTGCACCGGAGGACTCCGCATTCGTTCTCTCCATTCCTCTCGTTCTTTGTGAACTGCACCGGAGGACTCAGCGTTCTTTATTCCCGCTCCTCTCTTTCTCTGTGAACTGCACCGCAGGACTCCGCGTTCGTCCGTGTGCCGTCATTGTAATCACCTGCATAAGAGAACGCGTGAACGCCCGAGTACAGTGCATTAGAGCCAGCCTGAAGTGTGCTGTCGTTTACGTCAACGAGCAAAGCGCGCACGCCTTTAGACACATCGGGAAAGATATCTATTTGACATACGCCTGCTTCTCTTTAATGCCTGTGAGCATATGGTGGGCCGCGCCAACTTTTCACGCACGCATGCATCTTTGAATGTCGAGGAACTTGGAGATGATTCTCTCGTAGTGCATACATTTTGGGTGTCGTGTCGTGCCGGGTGTGGGTGTTCTGGTTATTCGGATGCTTACTCTCTAGTAAGCCAACTTAACGCCCCCATTTGCCTATCACGTGATCATAATGCTGCGCAATTTTCGCCGACAACACGTCTAGTGTTACTCTTAAGCATGTTGGTACTACTGGCGGCAGTCTTGATGGTGCCAGCGTAATAGAGCATCGCAAAAGCAAATCTGCGGCTACAGAACCGAATCAAAATACCCAGGGGCCAAAAAAGCAGCACAACACGGACGGAAATGCCCATTGCACAGGTTTCAACCGCCCTCATTCCTAAGCAGGGATTCCAAGATTTCAGCTGCTGCTCATTAGAAAGTCCGCAAGCACTATTCATATAAATAACCCGAAGTCTTCGCATCAATGTATGACATGAAAACGGATGAACCAAGGACGTAACAGGATTTTCACACAACATACACACAGAAATGACGATGGACCTCTGCTCAGACAAAGACGAAAATATACGATATAGCTGCTAAGTAGAAAGGGCTGGTTGTTTTAACTGGGTGCTGATTTACCAAACCAGTGATTTTCATTATCAAATGCTGGATTTTTACTGCACACCCTCAACGCCTCCGATGTGCTCGCGGGTGTGGCTGAAGTCGGGCAGGTGGTCACCCTCCGGGTGGAAGCCGTTCTCGTCGGCAGTCCAGTCGACGGTGTAGGTGACGCCCTCCCAATCGTACGAGTAGGAGCCAGTCCTCACGTAGTTGCCAGTCTCCGGCTCGTTGCCCGGGTACGAGATGCCGTCCTCGTTGGACAAGATCCCGTTGGTGGTCTCGTACCTGCGACGAACGTAAAGGTTTCAACCTCCGGAAATACATTTGGGAAGAAGAAGACGGAAACAGTGTACGCACTTTGCAATGCGAGGAACATAGTGCAGCACTGCTTGTCGGCGGAACCCATGCTCCAATTCGATTTTAAGGATTCGAATCCAAGTCAGTGATTTGTGTTTTTGAAGCAGATCACTCGAGTTAGAAAGAAACCCTTTATTCCAGAAACCCTACACCGATTTGGCACGCTAAACTAAAAGAGGGTGCAAAACCCTCGATCACCTTCCATGACAGCAGCTCACTTACAGCCCTCGGTTTGAGATAGCTCGGTGGTGACAAGACAGTGAGCTGTCTCGTGCCGCGGGGGCCAAGCGATGCGTTGGTAGACTTGGGGGTTTCGTTTGGTAAGGAGATTATGCAAAAAAATCAACATCCTCAGCAACATTCACCAACAACATTGGTCAGTGCGCTAGCAAATCTGTCGTTCATGCTAATATAACAGGTGGAAAGCTTCGAATGTAACCTTTGCAAGCAAGCTCATAACTAATTTGCTTCAGAGACAGCTGCAATGATAGCCCAAAGCCTGCTTATAGCGTACTTTGGGTCTGGTGACACTGGGCTTTTTTGGACGGAATGGGCACACTTGCCACAATGTAGACTTTTTCTGATACAGACAGTCTCGTGTAAAACGTGAATATTTGGGATAGATATTGCTCAAACTATACAGAGCCACACTCCCGTTAAGTCTCCATGGCCCGGTCTAATTTGGTTCCGTCCGGAGCATCACGTATTCGAGATCTGCGTCGGAGAAGGTGACACCTGCCGCTCTCCGGCCGACTTCGGGCGAGTCTGTAGTTAATACAGCTCTGAGTACCGTCAGCGAGTTGGATGTGGCACACTGGCATACACCGTGCAGATGTAGAAACAGCTGCTTTCACGTCTTAAATTGTTCAATTGCTGAGATCTGACAGGAAGCGTTAAGAGCACTTAAAACGGGTGAGAATGCGGTTTATTCACGGGAGTGCGTGACTGTCTACACACATCGGCTTAAACTTTGGCATACGCCGTTGTACGTTTCCCGTTTCGCGTAATATTCTGGCCTTCGTTTTGCAGTGAGGCGAGTCGTACGGGCTTGGTCCCTGCCTCGACCGTTACCTTCAGCCGTCTTAAAGATTGCCAAATTTTATTAGCAAATTTTGCAAGATCAGACACCTTGCATGTACAAATCTAGAAGCCAGGAGATGTTTAACGCGCGTGGATAAAGAAAAAAACGCGCAGTTTGTCGCAGCGCGGTTTTGGTGCGTTTGTTGCTGTTTCTAACCTAGCCGCTTGAAGCTACGTTTCTTCCTTGAGGTAACTTTACGAATGGCTAGCAAATCCTGCTCAAATTTGCAGTCTGACACTTTCTTTGAAAACTTAGAACCACTTAGAATCTTACTGGGATGCGTAGGAGCCATCCTCCTCGATGCCGTACTGGTAGTTGACGATTCTCGCCCCCTGGTCTGCCGCAACTAACGCCAGCACGCAGAAAAGAATGATCTGAAAAAGCGCAAACAACTGTGAAAGAGGACACATTTAAACAGCTGTTGTCAATGAACAAGGTTATATGCACGTGTTTACGCCATGCACCTAACTTGCCTTTCGTTGCAATTGCTGACAGACTTTGTTCCTGCATACTTACAGCCCTCATGTTTGATGACGAGACCAGCGAGTGACTGCGTCTGAGCTGGGTGAGCTTATATACCCCACTGAGTGTGCGCACACGTCACAAGAGTGAAGCAACCGAAGCGGTTTCTTGATCTCTGAAGATTCTGCACGCAGCTTATGACCTGTGCGCAGCTAATCCCGCTGATCCTTGACGCACGAGAGACCACTTTTCGTGTCGTCAGTCTTCGTATTGCCGCCATTCGGAAACAAATCATATGGTTATGTCTGGACGAACCGACCGATTTTGCCGGTGTTCTAACGCGATCAGCCTGCATTTTATGTTTCAAAGTGCTTGCAGGGAAATAGCAGCGAGGGCAAATACCTAAAGTGGGTGTTCCACATTTGTATGAGGGTTTGGATTGAAATAGCCAGCTTGAAGACCTTTCAGTGCCGCTTACAACGCTATCCCTCTTAAAACCTTAACAACTTCAGTTTCTGAGCTACACACCCACAGAGATGGAGAGACACTTTCTAAGAGAAAATTTCACTGTCACCTTGGCATTCATGCTTCATAACGACGTTATCCAAACCTTGCTATTCCATAGGCCATGCGGCTATCATGGCCAAGAAAAATACAATTGCCGAGGCGCTCATATTCGGCTCTCTTGCTCTGCAGCACGGTTGGCGAAGGCTGCAGCCGCAAGCCGTTTCCTCGCTGTGCCTGCCATGTTTTGCTTGCAAGCAAGTCGGACAGTTATTTGAGATGACGCTGACACATTTCTGGCTGTAGCAAAACATAACAAATCATTTTTGGTTGTGCCTGCTTGCAATAACTGTGTTTTAGTAAAACAGACCTTTGATGCTCAGCGACTTTGATTTGCGGCCCTGATTTTAGAGTAAAAATTAACGAAAAAATGTGGCCGGTTCCGACATTGCTTTGATGTTCAGAAACAACATCCCATTTAAACCTGAAGCTTTTACGGCAATTATAATATATCGTGGTGTTGATTAGGTACCAAGTGGACCAGCACTTAAAGAACTGCATTTCATTGGCCATGCATTTGTTTTGTGCTGACATGCATTAGGGGGGGGGGGGCAAAAAAGCATTGAAGGATCCTACGAGAAAATGCCGAGATCCAGGGCAACGTTGAAGGCTCCTTAACGATCGATTGACCCAGCAAGTGGACATATTGAGCCCCAGCAGCAGCGTAACACCTCTGGACAACGTCATAAGTCTCAAAATTTTCCCCATTTACGACCCTGTCAATCAGCAAAGAATGAACTTAAGGGAATGTTTCACATTTGAGGATATTGAGTTAGGCATCAGATATGATGGGAAATATCCATTCAAATCGGAATTACCTAAGACCTGATGTAGATGACCTCCAAACGACCGAGTGTACCAAGCGGTTTACCAGATGGGTCAAGAGCATAGAGTCCTCCATTCAAGTGAGAAGTATCCAAGACCCAGTGCGGCCGGTCATTGAAAGATCGAGTGTACCCGAGCAGGCCACCAGATGGCCCCCAACAGGAGCGTAACGCTCTACACTTAAATACCAAAACCCAACGTGCCGGGCTGAACAATCCGGGGTGCCCGAGCAGGTTAACAGATGGGGACCCCGACAAGTGAGTAGGGCCCCATTCGAACGCAAAGCATCCAAACGCAATGTGGACGGTCCCCGAACGTTCGAGTGTGTCCAAGCAAGTTAACAGATGGACCCCGACAAGGGGGTGTAGCCCTAAGCAAGGGATGGCGAACTGAATTGGCCCTTGACCAAATTGGAAAGGCCCATGAGCACATCGTGAATGTGTCGGTCGGTTAACCGAGACCAACGTGAAGGGCCCCTGGGCAGCCGAGAATAGCCGGGCAGGTTTGCACATGGTGCCTCCAGCTATAGCGTAGAGAACCTTTCGGGCGAATGAAAAGAATCCGTGGAACGCCCCTGATTGACAAAAGCGCCTTCGCTTGCTAACGGGAAGAGCCCCAGCCGCGGCACAGAGCACCCCACATGCAACTAAAATCAAGAGCAACGTACAAGGCTCCTTAACGAACGGATCGGTCCTGCAAGTGGCAATATAGGGCCCCCGAAAACAGTGTAGCGCCTCTGGACAGCATGATGAGCCTTAAAACCTCCCAATCACCATGATCTCAACCAGTGAAGAATGATTTGTGTCTTCTCGTGAGCCATTGACTTTTGCCTGTGACTGTTCCTGGTCGACCGGAAGCCAAAAAAGTCCAGTTTGTTGTGTTTTGTGCAAAAAGCATCTGTTCGGCTGTTGTGAGCCCTTCGGAGCCCGTGGGCCCCTTCGGGACCCAACGGCAGGGGAGCATAGCCCCACCTCCTCTATCTTTAGATCTGCCTCTGACTGATGCTGCACGTTATTTGTTTTAACACTGAAATGGTCTGCTAATTTGTCGAGTGCGTGCTTTTTTCCTCATGACGCCATTCTTATGTGAGGCATGTGACTCATCGGCACGGCGTTGTTAGAAATGATCAGGTCACGATTCAGCTGATGAAATTCACGGGGAATGTGATCCGGCTCGTGGCTCAAAGCGCCATTTTTACAGTGAGCCGACTCCGCTTATGACTCGCCCTAAAACGATTGACTCATGAGCCGATCATGATTCGGCCCGAGTCGAACGCAAGTCTAAGCCCTATGGCCTAGCTGTAAATGTGCGCCGTGGATGCCATATTTTAAACAGGGCTTCGAACCTTCCCCGATGTGGCGTGGCTGTCTTTCAGCCACCACTTGGGAATTAGTGGCAGTACGATCATGAGTCTCAGTTTTGACTCCAAGCCGATGCCGATCGCATTGGTTTGCCCTTATCTTGCAGTCGGCAGTTTTCCACTTTCTTTGTTCTTGCCATCTTGTCACAAGGTGCTTGTTTAAAATTTCGTGGTTTGGGAAACAGCAGCGCACAGAAAAGGAAAAGCACAAAATGAACAGGTGCGTTGAACTGTGACCGTTTGACAGCCGATTCAGCTACAATAATGTCCCCTAAGTCGGCGGACATAGCTAGCGGAGTGCCTGTCTTGTTGCCGCGATTCCAAAGTTGAAAAAGGCAAATCAGGTCATCAACGGGTTCATCCTGAAGCTTGAGAAGACCGGTTCCTCCGCATGAGGGTCAGGGATTGTCGTCCAGGACAGCGTTGTCGGCAGACCAGGTAGGCGAAATAAAGGGACTGGCCCGTTCTTAAGAAGACTAGCCTGGAGTTCTCTTGTAAGAGTATGTCCCTCTTCTCGAACTCTGCTCCCACCCTTATGATAACCACAACAGGTGGCAAACCTAGCAGTAGCCAATTCAGCACACATGTTTACAAGAGCAGTCCACAAACAGGCACTGCTAGTGTAAGCATGTCTGATGAATGAAGTCATAAAATCAATGAGAAAAATTAATGTGAAAATAAATTTGAGTTGCATGACATGCTACTAAAATATGTTAGAACCAACCACAAAGATGGCTATGTGTTCTTAGATCTGCGGCAGGTACTGTTAACAAAGAACCTGTTGTAAATGCGGTTCTCTTTAATTCAATACAGTTTTTGTGTTCTGCTTTTTTGGTGACTTTTGCTGTTTTGAATACAATTTTGCTGTTTTAATGCGCCTTACCTCCTATGTTTGAATTAGACAGCGGAAAGCGGGTTAAGTTAAATTAGCATCAAAGCAGGATCAGGGTGGTTTATTCCCACGGAGGACAATCTTGAGTCACCCAGCTGACGCACAGCAGCTCCCTCTGCCTTTCAATGTACTTCCGGGCTCATGTGTGCACACGGCTTAGGGTGAACGCAACAAATATGCTTTTTGCACATCGCTGAAAACTATACAGATCAGTTTAAATAATTCTTTTGCGACTGTTTCAAGACACTAAAAAACAGCGTGTTCCAAGCTTCCCCGGTACTTGTCACACAAACGTCTTGGCACGTAGTGTATTACAAACATTACGGAGCACGCACATTGGAAAAATCAAAGCAGATCGAATGCATTACTTTTAAAATGGTGGGCAATGAGACAAATGAGATTTCTCCCGCAGGTTCAACGACTTCAAATAACAATTTCGAGCTTTTCAGACGGATGTCGAGAAAACTGGTATTTCTCATCAGATCGTACGCGTCTGATGTAACAATAATTAGAAAGTACAAACAAGTGAAAAAGCCCCTTAAGCCAAGGACCTTTCAACCCGGGCTGGAATCCTTGTGTCAACTACTGGACTCCCTGTGGCGATAAGGGATCTTGTTGCGTCAACAAGAGCCCTGCGTCGATCTGGGGCCAGCTGTCCAGATCTGGGGGCTCCCATGTCAGGGGGGGGGGGGGGGCGGTACATGATTTATCACGTTAAGGGCCTCTGGATCGACCAGGGCACCCCGCCCGCGTGACGACAGTAGGCACCCGCGCCAGCTGATTCGCTGTCGCGCCTACTTGAGACGGTTTGTGTGTTCCACGTCGGAACTTTGTGCTCTAGGGGCATGGAGTGAGCCCTCTTTTCACCTTTCACGGGTTGACGGATCATTGGTCGCGTTTGGAGCTTCCCTGGTAGTTACAGAAGGGACCTCTGCAATTGGCCGGGTAAGCGCACCTGGCCGGTCGCCGCTGCGAGCTGGCGGTGAGGAGGGAGAGTTTCGCACCCCTTCAGGGACGTGGAGGCTCCGACCAGCGGGCCGGCTGGCTGGGCGAGCTGGCTGGGCAGGCTGGCTGGGCGAGTCGGCTGGTTAATGGGCCGGCCGGCTGGCTGGGCGAGCTGGCTGGTCAGGCGGGCCGGCCGGCTGGGCGAGTCGGCTGGTTAACGGGCCGGCTATATGGACGACCTGGCTGGTCAGGCGGGCCAGCAGCACCGAGCACACCGCTAACCGCTGTCGTCTATGATCTTGAGTTCAGCCAAAGTTGTTGGCGATTGCATGCGACTAATCTGGTGCAGTTTTCCAGCTGCTTGTCTTTCAGGAAACATTAGGCCCAGAGGGTTATGATTAAACTTACGACAGTTTTAGTATCAGAACCCCAACGCGGACGTCTTGTCTTTATTGTTACATTGTTTGCAAGCTATCATCATTTCAAACACCATCTGTTTGCGAGGTCCTCCGGCATGTGGAATGTTTTTGTGGTCGGATCGTACGATTAGCTCTACTAGGCTATTGACAGTTTAAGACCGGGTGTTACGTCCACTCATTGTAATAAGCCTTGGAACTAGCGCCCCAAATGGCAAAGGTTGTTTGATCACGTCGTTGCTCACGAGTTAGTCGTATCACCAGCCATTCGTGGAACCATGGAGCCGAGATGGACCTTGGCCCGTGGACATCCATCACCAGAATCGCAGCAACCGGAGGTTCCGTTGTCATCTGGGAAGTTCCAAGCTCCTAATAAGAGGAGCGTGGGAGGCGAACAAATCAAACCGGCAGATTGGCCAATGCTGCAGGCTGGCGATATCCAGGCGCGCGTGCTCACTGGCTCATCCGGTCTGCACACACACATAAAGGTGTTGGAAATAGAGGAGCTCGCGGCCTTCATATTCATTGATCAGTTTTCGTATGATGCCCACGCTGGGGAACGAAACCAGCTTGTACGCATACCA